AAGAGATCTCTTGGCTCCATAGGGGAGAGACTGAGGCAGCAGGAGGTAACACAGAGTAGGGGCTGTGTGAAAATTTCCTGGCTTTGCCTCATGAAGACTGCACCCCTTGGCCACACGGCTGTCTGACGTACCCTCTCCTGGTCGGGATGCCCGAGGGCTCTTACCTCCTGCAGCGTTTCCACCATAGTCTGAAGGTTCATGCGCTTGGCGAGCTCCTCCTCCCATCTGTAAAAGCCAAGAGGAATAGGTGGTCAGAAGGTGAGCTCCAGAAGGCCAGTCTGGCCCTCAGATACAACCCAGCATCCACCAGGGCCTAGCTTGAGCTGGGTGAGGGAGGTGCATTGGGGCATCCTTCCCTGCCTGCCCTCTGGGAGCGCCCAGCCTAGGGGCGGTGCTGTGAGAGCACAGCCAAGCTGATACATAACCAGAGTACCAGGTGGTAGTGACAAGTGCCATGCTTAAAGTATGAGCCCAGCACCGTGGGAAGACAAAGGTGGGAGGGACCGCCACCCTGCCTGCATGCAAACTGTAAAGTGCGGTGCCAACACTGCTGCTCCTGCTTTTGCTGCAAGATGCAGTCACAAAGCTGGTCCTTAGGAGCCAGACTGCAGCCAGCTCCACTCTCGGGTTCTTCTTTGCACCCACAAGAAACAAACTTTTATTGTGCTCAGCATTGTGATGTCCTACAGCCTACCCCAAACCAACACAGAACTCTCCTATATAGGTGTTATCATCCCATTTTATAGATGTGGAAACTGAGGCTCAGAGAGGCTAAACATTTTCCCCAAAGACACACAGCAAGTCAGTGGGGCTGGAATTCAAACCCAGGCTTGTTTTATTACATTAAAACAAAACCCAGTAAATCCAGATGTAGCGTTTATGATGTGCCAGGCCCTGTTCCAAAGGCTTCCATACTACCCTTTCATGTGTGTACTGCTCCAAGCTGAACAGGAACGCAGGCAGGGGAGAAGGCACAGGATGCTTCAGTGGACCCCCAGCCTCAACTGCGGGAAGGGACAGGAGCAGTTCCCTGGGGTTGGATGATAATACCAATACCAGACCCACCTTCGCTGAGACTTACTTCACACCAGGCACTGTTCTACGTGAAGTTTATTCAATCTTCATAACAACCTATGCTGTAGGTACCGTCATTATCCCCAGGTGAAGAAAGCAAGGCCCAGAGGCACAAGCTGAGCCCAAGGCCAGGGTGAGATAGGGTCGAGCTAGGACTGAAGCCCAGGTGGGGAGGCCCCAGACCGGTTGCTCGGAATCCCCTCACGGCGCTCCTCATAGACCCAGGAACTGTCAAAGCCTAAAGGCCCTAACCCACCTCCTCCAACACAGTCTCTCCCTCCCTAGAGGAAGCTGGGGGCAGGTTCTTTCCCTCCCTCCATCCTGGGACAGACAGAGGAGCTTCTCTCCTTCTTCACCCCACTGCTACCCTCCCTACATGGCCTCGGAGCAGGGCAATCTGGAATCCTGTTAGGATGCTGTCGGGGCCAGCTAAAAATAGGCCAGAGGGGAGGGAGAGTTGGTTACGTCACCGGCTTTTGGAAACAAGAGAAAACAGATACTGTTTGCACACACAGAGGAAAATTCCTCCTCTCTCCCACATGAGACAGCCCCGGCCAGGGCTCCTGGAGGACACACACTCTCTTCCTCTCCCCATTTTCTCCGGCCTTTCCCAGCCCCAGCATTAGCTGCCAGGCTGAGATCTGTGTGGGCTCCAGGGTCCGGACCTGGAGGGCAAGGGGCTGGGATTCCTGCCAGGGCTGGAGGGCACAGAGGAAGCTAAGAGGGGGCAGGGAGGGAATCTAAGGGCCTAATCCAGCCAGGACCATCTCATTGTACAGATGGGGAAACTGAGGCCAAGTGGTCAAGCCATTTTCCCAGGTCACCTAGTATATCAGGGGCAAGGCTAAGAGTCCAGTCCCAGACCACCTCTCACTGAGAAGAACAGGCCCCATGTTGGGGAGAGGAATCTCAAGGTGGGGAAGTTCCCAGGTCACCGCAGCCCTGTCTGGCAGCACAGAGCACTTGGGGCTTCCCCAAGGGGTAAAGGCCAGAGCACAGGTCCTGAGCCGGATTGTCTCTCCTGGCCACACTGCTCAGAGCGGGGAAGGCGACTCAATTCCAAAGCCACTGAGAAGGGCAGGTGCAAGGGCAAGCCCCAGTATGGCTCTGGCTGCAGCCTGGCACCCAGGGCCAGCCCGCTACCACATCTAGCGGCAAGAGCAGTAGCAGCAAAGAAGGGGGCAAAATATAAAGAATGACATGGCTCCTCCCTTGGACGCAGGCTCGCAGGGACACCTCCCCGACATTCTCCATTCCCCGGAGGGCCCTTTGAGAATGAGGCACAGCACCCCTCACTTTTCCTTTGAGCAACCATCTCATGAGGAAGGCGAGGCAGGGGCCAACAGACCCCTTGTACAGATGGAGAAAACGAGGACCAGAGAGAGAAGGACACTTGCCCCAAATCCACCCAAGGTGAGAGCGCAAGCCCAGATCTGTGGCTCTCCAGACACAATAACAGCAACAGCAGCGGCAGCCACCATTCACTGCGGGGTACGGGCTGGGCCCCACACCGGCTCACTGCCTTGGACACACACATCACTGATTGAATGTGAATTATTAACCCTCTTGGGGAAAGAATTTCTATCCAAGCCCATTTTGCAGATGAGAGAGAGCTGAGGTTTGAAGAGGTAAAGTAACTTGTCTAAGGTCACACAGCTAGCAAGCAGGGAGCTGGGAGTCAAAGCTAGTCCACTCTCTAAAGCAGTGAGTCTCAACCTAGAATGTGCACACGAATCACCTGGACATCTTATTAACATGCAGTTCCTGGTTCAGCAGGCGAGGGCTGGGGCAGACAGCCCCCCAGGTATGCCAGGCTGCAGATGGTACTGAGTGCCCAGGCTCTGAAGACCACACAACCCAGCCCCTCCACCTCGCCTCTCCTCTCCCGCCCCAAGTTCTGCACGCGCCCCACGCCTCAGTCATGTTTCCTGAGCTGCACACACCGCACCCCCAGGATGAGCTTGCACCAGTGATTTAATGGGCTTTTTTATTTCCAAAGCCGGACTGGGTAGGCAGCCGGCTGGCCTGCTCCCAGAAGGTCGAAGACAGATCCTGCATGTGGACAGCAGCCGGCTTGACTGAAGAGCCTGTCACCCGCCCTGATGTCCCTCCTAGCGGCGGTGGAGAAAACCTGGCTCAGCTGGCTCCAGTGTTGACAGTGCAGAAAAGCTCTGTCCTTGTACCACTCTGAGGACTGGCATGAAGGCCAGGTGGGTGATGTGTTTCTTATGGCACTCCAGACACCCGCATTCACTGCCCGCCCACCCAGAGCCAGGGAGCACTCAGCTTCACTGAGAACTGGTCAACCAAGTTGCTGGCATGGAGATTTCAACACCTGCTTCCCAAACACAATCCTCCCTCTGCCCTGAGTCTGCCCACAAGAGTAAGGTTTCAGTGGGGAGGGTGTTTCAGGCAGAGGGACAAGCAGAAAGAGGGCAGCATGAAGGGACAGGCCAGGCGCTGTCTGCCACCAAGAATCAGATGCACCTACTTTGGGTCAGGGGTTTGCAGACATGGTTTCCTTTCAGCCTATGCCATCCCCGATCTCAGCCCCAGCCCACAGCTGAGCAAACGACCTGCCCAAAGACTGCCTAGGAAGTGGCAGCGTCTGGATTCAAACCCAAGTCTGGCAGAATCCTACACCTAGGCCTTTAAGGCTGAAAGGGGAAGGAAGGCTGGAGTGAACATAAAGAGATAATTTTGGGTGCACAAAGGTCAGTTTCCTTGAGTTTTCCTCAGCAACCCAGGAGCTGTTCTGTTGGCTGGGGAGGGGTCTTTTCTGGTCAGAAGACTCCAAGATATTGACAGGCCTGTCACTGGAAGAAAGTGAGGTGACAAACACATCCCAGTGCTCTCTGTGGGGCAGGGCCTTTCCATAGATCTGCTCCGTCGTACTGCGCATGCTCTGGGAAAGCTGCCCTGTCCCCACTTTACAGGTGGGAAAATGAAGACCCAAGGCCTACGGACAACTCCAGCCACAGCCAACATGGCTTGAATCACTGAGAGCCGCCCCTGCCCACCCTGACCCAACAGCTTATCAAATTTCCAGATCCTTCTCTCTTCAAGCACTGGATGAGAGAGGGCACATTTATTGATTACCTTCTCGGTGGTGTCCACCACGTTTGGCATTTATTCCTCCCTCTACAGAATCCTGCTGAGCCCTCCCCTGGGATCGTCCCCATGTTGCAGATGAGGCTCAGAGGTCAGGTAACTCATTTCCCCTCTTCCTCCCTCCTCCTCAGCCCTGAAGCCCTGGCCATCCCCCCAGACTTGTCTCAAATGTCATCTCTTCCCCAAGTCTCTCATCCACTTCCATTGTTTGCCCCACAGCTTGAGGCAGCAGAGGCCCCAGGATCTCCTCTTCCCCAGTGACATGGTCATGGGATCCCACGGCACTCAGCTGTCACCCAAAGGAGCCAGTTCCACGACACCAGGGCCAGTAATGGCTCCAGCAGGTGGTCACCGCCACCTCCACCTTCCCCACCACCACCAGGGGCTGGTACTCATCTCAGGAGTACCAGCACAGAGACGGGGCAAGGAGGAAGCAAGAGGCGAGGTCCTGGTCTCGGTGGGAAAACAGGCACAGGAGCTGGGTCTCAAGCGAGGGTCCAGCCCCTCTGCAGGCTCAGAGAGCTGGTTATGATGATCATTTCTGTGCTTGCTGCTGTATTCCTTGCGCCTAAAACTGGCTGAGCACTTGCTAAAGAGTAAGATATTTATCAAATGCATTTGTTGGATGGATGGATGGATGGATGGACAGATGGACGGACAGATGGATGATTGAATGAATCAAAGCTGCACTTACTCCTCAGTGCCCTGATGGCCCTCACCTCCAGCCAGAGCTCCCTTCCCCCTGGAGTATCCTTAGCCTGAACCATCCCAGCCGGGGGGCTTGCGGTAGGCAAATTCCCAGCACAGGCCCCCCACACTCAGCTTCATCCATTGGCTCCAGAGCCTCTCCCAGGAGGCCAGGCCAATGGGAGGGATGGCCGGAGCAGGAAGCAGGCAGGAGAAGGAGAAACCTTCCTTTTCCCACTTACCGCAGCCCTGGGCCAGGGAGGGGAGGCAGGGATGTCAGGAGAAAGAGTGTCGGGAGAGGAAATGACTCCACAAAAGCACAGGGCAGCTGAGATCGGGGCCTCGGCCACCAT